CCATTGCTTTGACCATGCGGACTTTTGTTGGCAGGATGATGTCTCTACATTTTATTATTTAAAGAAAGAAAAAAATACATTCAGGGACAATAGTTCAGTTCTCCTTCCATGCCAGGACAGTCCTCTAGCAGCAACCTCCTATTTCTATTACTTGTCCATAAACACGCACCGTGTTCGATTCAGTGGGCCCCAAGTTCTGCCGGGCAGATGAAGCACGAACTTCCCAGCCAGAGACCATCTCAAGAGCCATTAAGGTGCCAGAATGCCTCCCCCACAAAAGTTAGGGTCTGATCTTTCCTCTATTTTTATAGCAGGACAGGGTGTCCCTTACCTATACAATTAAATTGTCCAGCTATATTGGTGGTGGTGGAAGGTACCATCAGGTCTCAGCTCACTGGCAACTCCCATAGGGTTTTCAAGGCAAGAGATGAACAGAGGTGGTTTGCCATCGCCTGCCTCTGCACGGCAACCCTGGACTTCCTAGGTGGACTCCCATCCAAGTACTAACCAGAGCCAACCCTGCTTAGCTTCCTGAAATCCAACAAGAACAGGTTTGCCTGTGCCATTCAGGCTGGGTCAAAGCAAGATTGCTCCATGGAAAACCCGAAAACAAGAACAAAGTGTGAACACCTTCTGTTAGGATCAACCAAATCAGCTTAAGGACATTGCAGAAGGATTCGAGTTCATCTAAGGGGACCCTATTTCGAAAAGCAAAAAAAGGGGAGCTATTTCCCGATTAACTACTTCAGACTGTGACAAATCTCATTTTAAGCACCCCTGCTCTTTAAGCTGTGATCATTGCTACTAATTAGGAACATTCCTAACCTTCCAACCCAGAAAGTGGGCATTTTTATCCTTTTTTTTTTTTAAAGAGCCCAAAAGTGGACGGACACACACAAAAAAGAGGACCTGTCCTCTAAAAAGAGTACATCTGGGAACCCTGATTCATTAGAACTGTTGTTCAGGAAGGAAGATGGCCATGTTTGCTTCCACTGCTGCTGTTCTACTAGCCTATAAAATTGATTTGTCTTTAAGGTGTCACAGGAAGATTGACCTATGTGGAAACATTTTTCTAATGGAACAAAGTTTGGGTCCAGCGGCACCTTTAAGACCAACAAAGTTTAATTCTGGGTATCAGCTTACCTGTGCATGCCCACTTCCTCAGATATCTGAAGGATATTTTTAATATTCTTAATTCATATTAATTACCCCACCTTCCTGAGTACCTGCCTACCATTTTTCTTCTTCACACCTTGACACAGAGAGTACTCCCATCTTTCTGTGTTATACCACTGCGGATGCCAGTCACAGCTACTGGCGAAACGTCAGGTCCTACAGTGCCAAGACCACGGCCAGACAACCCGGAAATTCTGCAGCAGCTCATGAACTCCAGCCGTGAAAACCTTCGACAGCATAATATCAATTAATGTTTAATATCCAGGTATCTGAAGCAGGGGGCATGCACATTGAGAGCTTGTACCCAGAATTAAACTTTGTTGGTCCTAAAAGAGCCGCTGGTCTCAAACTTTGTTCTCTTGCTTCAGACCGACACGGCTAGCCGCCGGAATCAATTTTTGAATGGTTTGTTGAAACAAAATATGGAGACAGAAGGCAAGCGCAATGTATGGCAAAATGCAGCTTTTGCATGCAATATATTTTTAAAGGAAACACTGCGGAGCCGTCCTTTCTTATTGCATTCACACAAGATGCTTTACCAAGCTCCCCAGTTCTGAGAAACAGACGGGATGAGTAAAAAAAGTAAATAAAGAAATAAAAAGGTTATTCCTTCCCATACCGGGAGTCGAACCCGGGCCGCCTGGGTGAAAACCAGGAATCCTAACCGCTAGACCATATGGGAAAGTCATGCTTGCTCAGCCTTCGCCACTAGGGTCAAGACAAGAGACGGTACGCGACAGTTTCTGGCTGCCGCCTAGCGTAGGGAAATGGAAGTACACCATTAGTTTCATACTAAATGGAGGGGTGGTCCCAGTTTATTTGAAAGCAAAATCAGCGTGAATTTGGACTATTGTCTTTCGGATCCTAAACAAACCATGCTTACTTGGAAGTCAGTCTGACAGATTACTGTAGCACTAACTTTCGTGTAAAGAGTGTTTAGTTTGGTTCAGGCGGGTAGCCCTGTTGGTCTGAAGCAACAGAACCCAAGTCCAGTGGGCACCTTTAAGCCCAACACAGTTCAGTTCTGGGGCTAAACTTTCCTGCGCATGCCCACTTCTTCAGATCCCCAGTTTACCTTCAGAATTAAGCGTTGTCGGTCTTAAAGGTGCCCCTGGGCTCCAACTTTGTCCCAGGGCTTAGCTCGGTTCGGGATGGGGAACGTTCCTCCTCACCCTAAGAGACCCTGACACATTAAACTTTTCATGCCCCGGGCGCAGCCCGATCCTACACGCGGCTTTGCTCGGAATCCAGAGCGGGGAAGATCTTCTTCCTAGCTCAGTCGGCTTTAGAGCTGCAGCTTTAATGGATCCCCACCGGGGACTCCTCCTGTTCCTCGCGGGAGGGGTGGGTTAGTTCCTGGCTTGTGTGTGTGTGTGTGTGTGTGGGGGGGGTTAATCGTTCGCACCTGGGAGGATTAAAGGCTGACCCGTTTTAAGGGCGGCCCGGCTCCCCTGCGCGCTTAAGATCTTCTTCGGTTCTGTTGCTCTTCTAGTCAAAATGGGGTGGCGGCTTGCAGCTAGGTGAGTTTCAGCTGGTTCTTCTGCAGATGGTGCTTCCTTGCACCTGTGCGTCTAATGCAATTGGGGGGGGGGCGCGTTCTGCCTCGTGGTTTCTTGAGGGATGGGGGTAGAAAGGGCAAAACTGGTGTGGAGGGGCGCCTCTTTTGGGGCTGGTAGGGGAATTGGGAATGGCTCCACATCAACCTGGCTGCACCCATAAAGGGGTGAGGGTTGCCCGGTCCCACCTGGCCACTGGCAGGGGAGGGTGGGAAGGTTGCCAGCTCCAGGTTGGGAAACTCCAGGAGATTTGGGGATGGAGCCTGGGGAGGACAGGGACCTCAGCGGGGATACAATGCCCTATTTTCCATTCTCCAAAACATCCATTCTCTCCAGTGGAATTTACCTTTGTAGTCAATGCTATGCTGGGGATTGTTAGGGAGGGGATTGAAACCAAACCAGCCAGTATCCTAGTTCCCCTGTATAAATAAGTGGAGTACTGTGTACAGTTCTGGTCACCACACCTCAAAAAGGACATTCTAGAAAAAGTGCAGAAAAGGGCAACTCGAATGATAAAAGGGTTGGAAGACTTTCCCTATGAAGAAAGGTTAAGGCGTTTGGGGCTCTTTAGTTTGGAGAAAGGACAACTGAGGGGTGACATGACTGAGGTTTATAAGATTATGCATGGGATAGAGCAGGTCGAGAAAGAGGCACTCTTCTCCCTTTCTCACGATACAAGAACTCGTGGGCACTCCATGAAATTGCTGAGCAATCAGGTTAGAATGGATAAAAGGAAGTCCTTCTTCACCCAAAGAGTGATTAACACATGGGATTCACTGCCACAGGAGGTGGCAGCAGCTACAAGCATGGACAGCTTCAAGAAGGAATTAGATAAGCATATGGAGCAGAGGTCCATCAGTGGCTGTTAGCCACAAGGTATAGATAGGAACTCACAGGCTGGGGCAGGTGATGCTCTGCATTCTTGGTGTTTACGGGCAACAGTGGGAGGGCGTCTAGTGTCCTGGCCCCACTGCTGGACCTCCTCAGGGCACCTGGTATTTTTGGCCACTGTGTGACCCAGAGTGCTGGACTGGATTGGCCTGACCTAACACTGGCTTCTCTTATGTTCTTGTGGAGACGAGTTGTAATTCTGGGGGAATCCCCAGGTCCCACCTGGAGGCTGGTATCCCTAGAAGGGGCTATTGGCTTAATTTTGTTTATTGCTTTGTTTAATTGGCATCATGCTACCTCCCCCCCCATGGTAACCCAAAGCAGCTGAAATCACTTTCCTCTTCTCCATAGTATCCTTGCAACAACCCTGTGAGGTAGGCTAGGTCAAGAGTGAGTGGGCCCAAGGTCGCCCAGCAAGCAGAATGGGGATTTGAACCTGGGTCTCTGTTGGGTGATAGTGAGATATTGAAAAAATGGTATTTGGCAGAGATAATATAGCCCAGCAGAGCCTGAGTAAAATAATTCAGACTGAGAGTCCATGTGTGATTAAAATATAAAGTTTTTACTAAATTCTAGCATGGGAAGGGTAACTGGGATGAAAATAACAAAAGAGCATAATCGGCTACCTCCTTACACTACAAAGACAAAACTAAAAGAGAGAAATTATGGCTGCTCTTCTTCTTCGTCTTCAGAACACACAAAGACGGGAAGAGAAGCCATAAAATGGTAATACACTTTAGTCCCAATCAAATCCCTAGATCAGGGAGAAAATTCCCGGGCTTTCCACATCTAAAGAACATTGGTTACATGAGAAACATGTGACTTCCTGTGAGTAACATAAACAAACATTTAACCCCAGATATACTGTTTTCAACTTGTAATACCCAACAGTCTGCCTGGTCCTAGTCCAACACTCTAACCAGTACACCACCCTGGCTTGTAGGCAGATGCATTCCACCTTTCCTTAGTATGTAAATGACTGGTGAGATACCTGGGACCTCTCTGGGTATATTGGTTAGCTGAACCTTTTCTAGTGGACTAGAAAGGAAGGGGTTAAGGGATCTGGACTCCTCAGTTCTTTTTTACCCAGTCCTGCCCTGGTTCTACCCATTGCAGGGCTGGCAGTCTCCAGGCAAGGGCTGGAGTTCTCCCTGAATGACAATGGCTTTCCAGGCTACAGAGGAAGTTCCCACGGAAAATGGCTGCTTGTGGGGGGGTGGACTCTATGGCACCATCTCACTGAGCTTTCTCTACTCCCCAGACTTGGCTCTCCCTGGGCTCTGCCTGCAGATCTCCAGGAATTCCGCAACCTGGAGTTGGCACTTGGCAACCATAACCCACTGTCCTAATTCCCCTTCTAACTCTTGTCTTTTCCAGCTTGTTCCTTTTCTGCCTTCTGGCCCCTGGAAGCTTGCCTCAGTCAGCTCCTGCCACAGGTACGCTTGTGGAATGTGTGTGTTGGAACGGATGTCGGTGGAATTCGCTGCCAGAGGGCGTAGTGGTGATTACAGGAATAAACAGCTTTAAAGGGGGGGTTCGATGGCTTCATGGAGGATAAGTCTATCAGTGGCTACTGGCCATGGTGGCTGAGGGGAGCCTTCATGTTCAGAGGCACTAAGATCAGTGGGATGGCTCTTCCCCGCTTTCCTCATCGAAGAATCTACCTGGGCTGCTTCTAAGCCGCGTCCCCCAAGATACACAACACGGGATTCCCCTTCTGCCAGGACTTAAAGCAGCATCCTTAATAGTGTATCTTAAACCCCCTTCCCCGGGACTGCAGCAGATCCATATTCTTCCTGGTGCGTTTTTTAGCTTATGAAAAGCACCTGCGAGGTTTGGTTGCTGAACATTGTGCATTTGGGCACTTAGGGAAAGTGCCGTCAAGACGAAGCTGATTTATGGTGACCCCTTAGGGCAGGGGTGTCAAACATGCGGCCCGGGGGCTGGGTCAGGCCCCCAGCAGGCTTCTGTCAGGCCCTCAGTGGAACTGGCTATCTTCTGCTTCTGCTTCCAGTTCTGCTGCTGCTCCGTCATCGTAGGTTTGCAGCTTACAGATACACACCTGAACAGCATACTCAAGATTGCAACAGCACAGGCATTTTGATGCAATAATTCTGAGCCAGAGGTGTCTGTTATCAGACACTGTTAAATAAACAAAATATTGCAAGAGTGCTCATGTTTTAAGCATGATTTTATTTTAAGTTAAAAAAAACTCCTTTGTGTTTGTATCCTTACCTGGCATTACATTTTATGACACACGTGGCCCGGCCCGACAAGGTCTCATTTAGGTCAGATCTGGCCCTCCTAACAAATGAGTTATGGATAAACTGGGTGAACATATGGAGCAGAGGTCCATCAGTGGCTATTAGCCACAAGGTATAGATAGGGACTCTCAGTCTGGGGCAAGTGATGCTCTGCATTCTTGGTGCTTGAGGAGGGGGGAAACAGGCGAAGGGCTTCTAGTGTCCTGGCCCCACTGCTGGACCTCCTGATGGCACCTGGTATTTCTGGCCACTGTGTGACACAGAATGTTGGACTGGATGGGCCATTGGACTGATCCAACATTGGCTTCTCTTATGTTCTTATGAGTTTGACACCCCAGCCATAGGGTTTTCAAGGCAAGAGATGTGTAGAGGCGGTTTGCCATTGCCTACCTCTGGTGCAGTGGCCATGGATTTCCTTGGGGATCTCCCATCCCACTGCTAACCGGGACTGATCCTGCTTAGCTTTTGAGTTCTGACAAGAAGAGGATCGGGAGGAAGGGGGCCCGCAAAACCGGCAGGGGGGCAGGCCCCATGGGCCCCACGCGGGCTACGGGCCTGCGCGACCCCATGGACAAGCTCCCACCAGGCCCTCCTGTCATCCGCTGACCTCTGAAGTTGGCTCAATTTCATGTTCGTTGCATCGATGACACTGTCTAACCATCTCCTCCTTTGCCGTCCCCGTCTTCTTTGACCTTCAATCTTTCCCAGCATCAGGGTCTTCTCCAGGGAGTGCTCCCTTCTCATTTAGACTGGCCCAAATCCACGGGGCTGGTGGTGATTTGAACTGGGAAAACAGTCAGGCCCTAGCACAATCCCTCCATCTTACACATGAGATGGATGGCTACTTAGCCTTGGTCATGCTGGCTGTTGCTTACATTGCTGTGGTTCTTAGACTGGCCCAAATCCACGGGGCTGGTGGTGATCTGAACTGGGAAAACAGTCAGGCCCTAGCACAATCCCCTCCATCTTACACGTGAGATGGATGGCTACTTAGCCTTGGTCACGCTGGCTGTTGCTTACATGGCTGCGGTTTGCATCTTGGATGGAAGCGGGTGGGGGAGTCGAGGGTCAGTTCCCTGCCCGTCTCTCTGTCTTCCAGATCGTGTCGTTGTAGAGTGCCTGGGTAGCCTGGCCCGGCTCAAGTTGAACCCACGCTATTTCCAGAACAAATATGTCAGCTTTGCTGCTGTCGGTGAGTCTTGGAGCTCCCACCCCCCATTCCTGACACAGATACGGATGAAATGGTAGACCTATACGGGAGAGGTCTCTGATAGGGTGCCCGTGGGCGTCATGGTGCCTGTCAACACCTTGCCTGGTGCCCGCCAAGTGTTTTAGAAAGTGAGAGGAGAAGGATTGGGCTTTTGCCCAGTAAAGCTTCTGAGGGGCCATGGGATACATGATTGGTTATGTAGACTTTGGGGAGGGGGGTTGTGTGTGTCGCAGGGCTTTCTTTGTAGAAAAAGCCCAGCAGGAACTCATTGGCACAATAGGCCACACCCCCTGACAGCACAGCTTATTAGCATATTAGACCACACCCCCACGCCTTCCCTTGGCTTGCCCGGGTAAGCCCCCCCTTGAAGGGGAGGGAGGCAGTTTAAACGGCATTCCCTTGGCTTGCCAGGGCACCCTATGGCTGAGGGAACCTGGGCAAGCCGGCCCTTGGACAGGCCAGGGAAGGCACAGGGAGGGATTTAAATTCTTTCAGCCCCCCCCCGGTCTGCCTGCCTCGGAGTCACTGGGGGGGTCGCTCTCCAGGCCTTCTCTCTGTAGCCACGCACATGCAGAGGTTTTGGCTGTAGTGGGCGTGGCCAACTCTGAAGCCAGACGGAACTCCGTTCCTGTGCGTTCCTGCCCAAAAATAGCCCTGTGTGTGTGTCTGTGTGTGTGTGTGCCTACACCTGGAAGACATATTGACCTCTGGTGACTAGGGTTGCCAGCCTCCAGGTGGGGCCTGGAGATCTCCCGCTTTTACCACTGATCCCCAGCCGACAGAGATCAGCTCCCCTGGAGAAAATGGCTGCTTTGAAGGGTGGACTCTATGGCATTGTGCTATGCTGTGAGGCCCCTCCCCTCCCCAAACCCCGCCCTCTCCTGGCTCCACCCCCAAAGTCTCCAGGTATTTTCCAACCCAGACTTGGCAACCCTACTGGTGACTGACCCCTACTGGGGGCCTGGAGGATATTCAGAGAGGTGGCTGAATAAAGCCTGCCTCTGTTCTATTCCAAGGAAGTCTAAACACAGTCAACCCTACTTAGCTTCCAAGATCTGAAGCAATAGGGCTTGCCTGGGCCATCTGGGTCAGGGCTGTTGTGTAGGTTTTTGAAAATGTTGCTTTGGCAGCAGCTGCCACCACTGCAGCACAAGGATCTTTACCGCATGACTTTAGGTAAGCTGTGGCAGCCATTTTGTGGCTGACTCCTCCTGCCGCACCCATTTTGTGGCTGTGGCGCCCACCACCCTGTGCCAGAATTCCAGAGGGGCCTGCAGGCTCAAAAAGGTGCCCCCCGCCATACAACATACAACTCTCCTTTTACTTGAGGGGTGATGGAGGATGAACCATACTTCCCAGATTGAGAGCAGCCAGATCTCTGCATTGCCTGTCTTGCTTAACATAAAGGGGGGTAAAGTAATTTTACGAGTGCTAAATGACTTCTGCAGCCACCCAAAATTCTACGTGACATAATAAAACTGGCACGATGTCGGCCATATGGTGGGGCATTTGCTGAGGCCCACATCTTGCTCAGAGATGCAAAGCCGTCTTCAGCGTGTATGGCTTCCAAAAACTGACTTGCTCTGGAGAGCGGTTGGCTGTACACAAGGCAGTGTGCTGTATGTGGTCAGGCCCTGAAAACGTGAGGCGGTGCTTCTGACAATGGAAGCAGAACCTTATCAGCGGCACTTCGCCACGGATAAGACCTCAGAAACCCCAAACTGGCTCTGCCACCACCAATGTTCCCGCTAAGCTGTGGAGCCCTCTGAGCAAAAATTCTACTTTGTGAGCTACTGACATTGAAGTTGTGAGCAGGTGATTTGGCCACTGCATGATTTAGTTTGCTCTGGAGCCATCTTTCCTGAGCTAAGACAAAAATGTGTGAGCTGGAGGCTAAAATACTGTGAGCTAACTCAGCTTAGAGGGAACACTGGCCACCACCGTATTTACCTGGAAGGAAGTCTGTCTCTCCCCCCGCCCTCCATTTGCCATCAATAAAGTGGCTGGCTAACTTGCATACAAGTTACGGTTGCATACAATAACAAGAAAAAAGTGTGGAACACCTTTTTGGGGGGGTGGGGCTGTCTTCCCCCTGGGTCAGCTGAGTTCTTGGGGTGCCTGCTGGAACATGCTTGTAGCTGCGATTCAGTCTTTCTGTGGAGTGTTTCACCAGGCTAGGGAAGACAGTGCTGTAGAGCAGTCCCACTTTTACTAAAATGGCCTAATTCTCTTTCTTTCTAGACAAGTTTGGCAGGTCTTGGCCCATAAACCAGACCCTGGCTGCACAATGTGGATACACCATCCTCCAGGACGTCTGGGGAAGCCTTGAGTTCCGGGCCTCCTTGGTCAGCTGCTACGCTCAGGTGGTGGTACGTAAGCTGTGAGCCAAGCTGGTGGTATGTAAGACGTCGGCCAAGCTTCTGGGTTGTATAAGAAGCAGCCCTGTATTGAATCACTTCACATAGCCCCCGACAAACTTTAGCACCGCGCTCCACATAATTCTCTGAGGTTCTTTATGGCATTGCCATGGTGGTGGAAAGAGCCATCAAGTGACAGCTGACATAACTACCCTGTAGAGCAGGGGTGGCCAAAATGCAGATCGGGAGCCACATGCGGCTCTTTCACACATATTGTAAGGCTCCTGGCAGGGCAG